GACCCGACCCGACCCGACCCGACCCGACCCGACCCGACCCGACCCGACCCGACCCGACCCGACCCGACCCGACCCGACCCGACCCGACCCGACCCGACCCGACCCGACCCGACCCGACCCGACCCGACCCGACCCGACCCGACCCGACCCCCGACCCGACACCCGACCCGACACCCGACCCGACACCCGACCCGACACCCGACCCGACACCCGACCCACCCCGCCCCGACCCCGACCCCGACCCCGACCCCGACCCCGACCCCGACCCCGACCCCGACCCCGACCCCGACCCCGACCCCGACCCCGACCCCGACCCCGACCCCGACCCCGACCCCGACCCCGACCCCGACCCCAACCGACCCCGACCCCAACCCCGACCCCGACCCCGACCCCAACCCCAACCCCAACCCCAACCCCAACCCCAACCCCAACCCCAACCCCAACCCCAACCCCAACCCCAACCCCAACCCCAACCCCAACCCCAACCCCAACCCCAACCCCAACCCCACCCCCAACCCCAACCCCAACCCCAACCCCAACCCCAACCCCAACCCCAACCCCAACCCCAACCCCAACCCCAACCCCAACCCCAACCCCAACCCCAACCCCAACCCCAACCCCAACCCCAACCCCAACCCCAACCCCAACCCCAACCCCAACCGCAACCGCAACCGCAACCGCAACCGCAACCGCAACCGCAACCGCAACCGCAACCGCAACCGCAACCGCAACCGCAACCGCAACCGCAACCGCCACCGCAACCGCAACCGCAACCGCAACCGCAACCGCAACCGCAACCGCAACCGCAACCGCAACCGCAGCCGCAACCGCAACCGCAACCGCAACCGCAACCGCAACCGCAACCGCAACCGCAGCCGCAGCCGCAGCCGCAGCCGCAGCCGCAGCCGCAGCCGCAGCCGCAGCCGCAGCCGCAGCCGCAGCCGCAGCCGCAACCGCAACCGCAACCGCAACCGCAACCGCAACCGCAACCGCAACCGCAACCGCAACCGCAACCGCAACCGCAACCGCAACCGCAACCGCACGCACGCACGCACGCACGCAATCGCACGCACGCAGGCAGGCACGCAGGCACGCAGGCACGCAGGCACGCAGGCACGCAGGCACGCACGCACGCACACACGCGCGCGCACGCGCGCGCACGCGCACGCGCACGCGCACGCGCACGCTCACGCGCACACGCGCACACGCGCGCACACGCACACGCACACACGCGCACACGCGCACACGCACGCGCACACGCACACGCACGCGCATGCGCACGCGCACGCCACCGGCACGCGCACGCGCACGCGCACACCCGCACACGCACACACGCGCACACGCGCACACGCGCACACGCGCACACGCGCACACGCGCACACGCGCACACGCGCGCAAGCGCCCACGCGCACGCGCCGCCGCACGCCCGCACGCCCGCACGGCCGCTCGCCCCGCACGCGCGCACGCCCGCACGCCCGCCACGCCCGCACGCCGCACGCCTGGCACGCGGCACGCCCGCACGCCCCGCACGCCCGCACGCACCGCACGCCCGCACGCCGCACGCCCGCACGCCCGGACGCCCGCACGCCGCACGCCCGCACGCCCGCACGCCCGCACGCCCGCACGCCCGCACGCCCGCAGGCCCCACGCGCACACGAGCACACGAGCACACGAGCACACGCGCAAACGCGCGCACGCGCACACGCGCACACGCACACACGCACACACAGACACACACACACACACACGCAGACACACGCACACACAGACACAGACCGAACCATCGAGGTTGGATAAGCTGGGTGTGTCGACAACTGCCGTTCGAATGGCAGAGGTGGGCGTGGAGGCACCGCATGTTTAACCTAGCACACTTAGAGCACAGGTTGTGAGGGGAGACTGATGAGATTGCCAGGCTGCCAACACCAGCCAAAGATTGCTGGAACGAAACCCCCTGCTGTCCTACATAGGCCAGACCTGCTCGACTGCTTAGACCAGTTGTGGCAGAGCCTCCTTTGACATCGTTGCATATGCCCTTTCAGGAGTGGATCCCTACAGGAACAACGATAATCTCTATGCTGACGTGCTACACCGCCTGTCATTCTTTATCGAGTCAGGTGTGGCTGACGTTGCTTTGTTTGTTGCAGCATTGTTGGACAGTTTCAAAAAGGTCGCTTCACACTGCACCGCAACATCTCCCTCAATGCAGCACTGCAAGTCGTTCCTGCCTCAATGTTCCCTCTTTTTGAAAGCTTCTGCTCAGTATAGCAATGGTATGAATTCTGAGGCAGATGAGTCCTTGGACATCGTGTTCCTGGATGCTCGCCATGATTTTGAGGCTGGAAATGAGCTGGTTTGCCAGTGGGACCTGCCAGTTCCTGTCGAGGCGGTTGTGGATGACGTGGCTGCGTGGAAGCCAAAGGTTCGACAAGGAGGAATTTTATCAGGCCTGGAGAAGTTTGACATCTGTTCAACATGTCTGTTGAGCAGGAGGTTTATTTTCTAGGTGCAAACAAGCATTGTCAATTGAAAGACGCAGCTCTTGCTTCTGAATGCGTCTTCCTTCTAGTTGGCCCTTTCTGGAGCAACCTAGCTGCATGAGTGTTGTCCCAAGAGTCCCGGCTTGGAAGATCCCGCTGCTATTCCTTCCTGTTCCTTCTTCAGATGTTCAGCTGACGGAAAGTTGCTTAGCCAGATATCATCTTCTAGCCATCCACTACCGCACGATTGTGAAATAGCAAACGCAAAAAAGGGCCGTGTTCTTGCAGCAAACTTTTTGTGACGCCAGTTGTTGCAACTCATTCTGCAAGGCCATGATTTCAGCTGGATGTTTCCCACGGTGGCCTGGCTCTGAGCTCTCCTCAATGTCTTGGTACGATCAGAGACTCGGAGACCTCTTCAGGCGATGGCGGTCTTCAAGGAGACCTTCAATGCTCCAGATCGCACCATGCATCTGGCGCCAGATGGTGTCTGGTCAGCTTCTCAGGTGGTTATGGGGCAATGGCGATCGGCTCCATTTGGGGTGGATGAACATCCATTTGCCCCTATTTTGATGTTCACCAGAATTTTTCCGGGGTTTTGACAACCACAGCCAGGCTTCTCGCCGTTGTATCGAGAATGGTCTCCATTGCAGGTGGCTGCAGCTCTGAGAGCCGCTTCAGCTCTCGAGCCGCAAGCAGGAAGAGGGATCCAGTGAAAGAGAGAGTGCGCACCAGCGATCCATGTGCTCTGGCAATCAGACCTCCAGCATGTCATTTGGCAAAGACCTGGGAGGTTCGGGTTCTGAATCGCCATACCTTTGGCTGGCGCAGGACTCGCACCATCCTTGCTTCTTGTCTTGTTTCTCGTCTTTTTTTAAGAACCGCTCCGCAGTCGTCTTTATGGTCAGAGATGCTCGAGAAACTTTGATACTTGAGCCAGGAGGGTAGCGAGAAAAGGTGCGGGGCACCTGTTGTTTTGCCATTTCAGGCGGCTTTCTTTTGATTTGAGGTGGGTGCCATTGCCGCCTTCGGACTGCCAACGCCTTGAAGCGATCTTGGCGAGAGGCAATCCGCAGGAGAGCGGTCAGCCGTGCTGGCCATGCAGTTGAAGAGTTGGAACCCCCCTCCAATGTGGTTGGTGGACATGGATCCCCACCAAATCTTGCCGTCCACCAAAGGTTCTCTAATTAAAATTCAGACCCAACTCCGCACAGCGCATAGCCAGCAAGAAACATTGCCTGTAAGGAGCTGCGATCAGTTGTTCCGGTTGATCACGGTGGGGCGCTGACTTTGCAGGAAGCCTTCGTCAGTTGCTGAAGCTTAGGCAGATACGACGTGGACCTTGAACGGCGAGTGCTGAGGCCATGCATGTTGCATGGGTGGACACTGCCACAAGATGAACCTCCAGCCGGGCGAAATGGCGGTGGCGGTCAAAACCAATGAAATCCCATTTTGGGGTAGGCGACCCATTTTAGGCAGCGCTTGGATTGAATCGGATGTTCCTTGGGGGCTAACCGATTTGGATTTGGACCCATGGCGAAATCTTGTGGCGCTCGCCGGTTGCGAGCGCCGGGCCGCGGAAGCCGAGATTGGCCGTGACCGGAAGCTGTAGCCAAGGGTTGCAGGATGCGGATCCCAGCGTGTTCCGGGCGGAGAATTCACGCACATCCCCGTTTTGTTTTTTTTTTCTCTCCTGGGCGTGAACACCAACGTGCATAAAGTGCTGATTTCCTTGCACAGCTTGGGTGATGGATGAGCAAAGACCGGCTCCATGCCCAGGGCCGTGTACTGGGACGAACCAGAGCGGCGTTGCATTCGCAGCTCCTGGTTTCATGGTCGACGCCTGAAGGGGGATATTGTTGCAGTGCAACACGTGGGGCTTGAAATTCTGAAAGAAAGGCGCACTGCCAACCCCCCCAGCCTGGACCTAACGCATCTCTAATCCAGGCTAGCCATATTAACCAAACTGGCAATCTCATCACTTTGCATGGGACCTTTGGAGGATGCCGCAATAACAGATGAGTTTTTCACCAAAAGGGGCAAGTTATGTGGGGTGATTCCGAGGCCCGGATTGGTCAACCCCATGTGAGGTCGAATTGGTGGGCCCTGGACCCCCTATGAAGAGGAGGATGGAGAGGCGCCTTCCAGATTTTGAGAACACGGTAAGACTCTCGAAAGCATTTGGCAGGGGCTGGAAGCGGCTTTCCAGCGCCTCAGAACTCGAAAGGACTTTTGCGAACGCGAAGTCACGGCAGTGTGCTCTTAGCGCCCTTGCAGGAGAGCGCTCCCTGGCTGGTGCCTGTGAACAGGCGGTTTTCATTGGCCATGGATTTTGGGGAGCGACCTCAGAAGTGATTGGTGGACATGAATCCCCACCTAAACGATGTCCTCTAAAGGGTCCCTTATTAAAAGTCATAGCCCCATGGATTGAATTCAGCAGCGCCAGGGGAAAAGATGACGTTCGATTCGAGGCGGGCAGATCTCAGCACTGGATCTCCGAAAAACACACGCAATCGATGCCGGATCCGAGGCCCTTCGCGTGGGCGAGGATGAGTCAAGCGGATCCCTCGAAGATTGTCAGTCCAGTTGTCCTGGGCAGATTGCCAGGCTCTTTGCCCTTCTTCTTCAGTGGCAGCGGGCAAAAGCGTCATCCAGTGGTCGGTCGCTGAGCGTGTTTTTTGGTGCTCAGTGCCTTGGTCTGTTATTTTTTTTAGGTTGGTCCCTTGCCAGCCAAAGATGAGACAGAGCCGCAAGCCGAAGCCTTGATTCCATTGATTCCGATGTGAAGTTCGAAATTAGAAATTCCTCGAATTCCGTGAGGCAACTGCTGGAGGCGTCGAGACCCGATGGGGCTGAACCGTGCTCTCACGTCCTACTGGGCTCATCATTTTTTGACCCCCATTTCTGGCGGGTATCAACGTCCGAAGTGGCGAGATTGGGGCGGCGTCTGATCCGAAGCCACTGTGGCTTTGACACACGCCAGGTGATCCGCAGTTCACCGCGGTGCAGGAGGCAGTGGAGAGGAGCACACCCGGAGAGACGCCTCTGGTGTGGCGTGGGTACCTTGCCGGCGCTTCCTCGTCCGACTTGTTGGAGGGCGCCCCGTTGGTGGGAGTTGGTTTAAAAGGGAACCAACCGGAGACCAGCCATTAAGAAAAATAAAAACACAAAAAAACAACAAAACAAGAAAAGAAAAAAGTGACACACACACACACACACCTGATTTTGTCCACACAGTTATTTCTTTTACAACTGGCAGGTACTGGACTGTGGCTGGTGAGGAAGCTCGAGCACAGGCGTGGGCTGTCCCCGTCGCAGTGCGCGCATGTGCTGATTGCAGGTTGAGGAAGATGAGCTACCTAGCAGAGTTGAGTGCAGGGCACAGATGCTCTCTTCGGAACGCATTGCGCATTGCATTGGTTTCTGTGTGGCTTTCATGCAACCTGCTTTCTGCCACAGATTCGTCAAGTCTGCATCACAGCGCTTAGCAACTGCGAGGTGCTTGACCTTCGTCGTGCATGGCATCGGCCAGTACCACCGTTCACAGAACATCAATTCGCAATTCTTCAAGGAGCGCTTGCGAGCGAGCTGAGTTCTGCCCATCGTGCGCAAAGCTCAAGAGCTTGGAGGAAGTGTCAAAAGTCCGGGAGCTTGCCATGAAGTACCAGCTTGAGCGGATGAAGGCGCAGGCAGAGAGTTGCGTGCAGCAAGCGGCTAGAAGTTGAAGCAAGACATGTGAGCTTCACGCCACTGGTAAAAAAAGACAACGGCAGGGTGGCGCCCTGGGCCGGATCGAGTTTCTTCCACTGGAATGGTGACCCGAGATCAAGCTTCAAGTGTTGCTTGTGGACTCTCAGAAACTGATGAGGTATGGTCCCATCCATGTTGATGTGGGCATAGGTGGGAACCATTCTTCAAATGTTTCCAGATGCGGCCCGATTGGCGGCTTTACCGAGGCAATCGGCTGAAGAATGTGACACTAAAGTCTGCCTCGGCCGTACTTGCTATCGATTGCCAAAGGTAGGACTTCCTTCTGCTGCAGGTCAGCTCCTTGCGCGACTTTGCCAACTTCGCCATTGCTGACATCATGGTGTACCTGGACCGCTCATTTCATGTCTCGGGCAGTGATAAAGTTCGCAGTGGCCTTGAGGACGATCAGTGGCGAGAACGCATCCATGAAGAGCTTCTGAAGAAGATGGCCGGCGCCCCGAAATCAAAAGCCGCGGTGACCTCGCGAGCTCCGACGTTGCGCAGGGGCAGTTGTGGAAGCTCTTCTCGGAGCGGACTCCAGACTACTCAGGGGAGGCGCGTTGTGTTGGACGTGCCTCATGGATCGCACGATGGATCGCAGGTTGCTGTGATCGGTCACTCTTTGGGTTCGGTCATCATGTTTGATTTGATGCAGAAGGCAGGCTTGCGTCGCGGAAGGCCGGTGTTGTGTCATGGTGCTCAGGGCTTGGAGAAGTTTCCCAACGGTCTGCATTGCTCGCCTGCCAAGGAGAGATTTGCAGGGGCTCTTCACCTTGAGACTGGCCGTTGCAGGAGCCATCACCGCACTCGCCAAAGAAGACCATGATGTCTGCACCTTCCAAAGCCAACGTTGCCACTCCTGGAAGTTTCGACCGAAAGGGCATCAAGTTGCTGAAGGCGCCGCCGACGGTCTCGGCTGTTGGCGCTGCTTCGCGAAGACGGCATGCAAAGCAACAACAGGGTAGTGCTAAATCCAAAGTTCTGCGTTTGCAGAGCGTGAGGCAATTTCAGTTGAGTGCAGTGTAGGGCAGCTGCCTGTAGGAAGACAGAAGGCACCGTGAAGACACTCTGATGGACACACACACACACACCCACCCACCCGCCCGCCCACCAGACGTACGCACAGACGCACGTGCACGTGCCCACGCGCACCACACGCACCACGCGCACCAAGCGCACCACGCACACCACGCGCAGCACGCGCACCACGCGTAGTACGCGCACCCCGCGCGTGCGCCCACGCGCCCATGTACTCACGCACCTACGCACCACACGCACCCACCAAACCCCACACCCCCACACCCCCCCACACCCACACCCACACGCCCACAACCACACACCCACACCCACACACCTACACCCACACACCCGCACCCACACAGCCACACCCACACCCGCACCCGCACCCGCACCCGCTCCCGCGCCAGCACCCGAACCCGCACCCAATCGCACCCGCATCCGCGCCCGCAGCCGCACACCCCCACACCCCCACACCCACACACCCACACACACACACACACATCTACACACCCACACACCCGCACACACCCACACCCACACACCCACACCCACACAAACACCAACACGCACGCGCACCCACACGCTTACGCTTGCTCGCACGCGCGCACGCGCACGCGCACACCCACACCCACACGCACACCCACACCCACACCCACACCCACACCCACACCCACACCCACCCCCCCACCCCCCCATCCCCTGCGCCTTTGCCGCGTGGCACTACCCTACCCACACCACAGCATCCCCACACGCACACCGCACACCGCACCGACACGCACCCGCACGCGCACCCGCACACACACAACACACACACACACACACACACACAACCACTCACACACACCACACACCACACACACACACACACACAACACACAAAACACACACACACACAACAACACCACACACACACACAACTCACACAACACACACACACACACACACACACACCACACACACAACACACCACGCACGCGCGCGCTCGCGCTGCGCGCGCGCAGCGGCGCGCGCGCGACGCGCTCGCGCGACGCGCACGCGACGCGCACGCGCAGCGCAACGCGCACGCGCACGGCGCACCGCGCACGCGCCCGGCGCACGCGCACGCCGCACGCAGACGACACGCGACACACGCGCCACACGCGGCCACAACGCGCAACACGCGCCACACGCGCCCACGCGCGCCACACGCGCCACACGCGCCACACGCGCCACACGCGGCACCACACGGCACACCGCGCCACACGCGCCAACGCACCACACGCACCAACGCACTCACACACACCTCACCGCACACCACGCACTCCACGCACACCACGCACACCCACGGCCACACACGCACACACGCACACACGCACACACCGCACACACGCGCACACGCAACACCACGCACACACAGGCGCACCACGCGCGCCACGCGCACCACGCGCAACGCGCACCACGCGCGCCACGCGGCAACACGGCACCTCGCGCATCCAACGCGCACCACGCGCACCACGCGCACCACGCGCACCACGCGCACCACGCGCGCAACGCGCACAACGCGCACAACGCGCGCAACGCGCGCAACGCGCGCAACGCGCGCAACGCGCGCAACGCGCACAACTTGGACAACGCGCACAACGCGCACAACGCGCACAATGCGCACAATGCGCACAACGCGCACAACGCGCACAACGCGCACAACGCGCACAACGCGCACAACGCGCACAACGCGCACAACGCGCACAACACGCACAACGCGCACAACGCGCACAACGCGCGCACGCACACGCACACGCACACGCACACCGCACACGCCCACAAACCCACAAACCCACAAACCCACAAACCCACAAACCCACAAACCCACAAACCCACAAACCCACAAACCCACAAACCACCCACAAACCACAAACCCAAACCCACAAACCCACAAACCCACAAACCCACAAACCCACAAACCCACAAACCCACAAACCCACAAACCCACAAAACCCACAAACCCCAAAAACAAACCCCACAAACCACTAACACACAAACAAACACACAAACACACAACACACAAACACTCAAACACACACACAAACACACAAACACACAAAAACACACAAAACACACAAACACACAAACACACACACACACAAAACACACAAACACACAAAAACACAAACACACAAACACCAAACACACAAACACACAACACACAAACACACAAACACAAACGCACAAACGACAAAACACAAAGCACAAACACACAAACACACAAACACACAAACCCAACACACAACCACAAACCACAAAAACACAAAACACTAACACACAAACACACAAACACACAAACACACAAACACACAAACACACAAACACACAAACACACAAACACACAAACACACAAACACACAAACACACAAACACACAACACACAACAAACACACAACACCACAAAACTCACAAACACACAAACACACAAACACACAAACACACAAACACACAAACACACAAACACACAAACACACAAACACACAAACACACAAACACACAAACACGCAAACACACAAACACACCCACACAAACACACAAAACACAAAAACACAAAAACACAAAACACGACAAAACACACAAACACACAAACACCAAAACACAAACACCAAAAACACAAACCACACAAACACACAAACACACACAAACCACAAACACACAAAACACACAACACACAAAACACACCAAACACACACACAAAACACACCAAACACACAAACACACAAAAACACACAAAACACTCAAACACACACACAAACACACACACGCACACGAACACGGCAAACCCACGCGCACACACGCACACACACACACACACACACACACACACCACACACGCACACGCGCACGGCGCCCGCGCACCGCACGAGCAATGTGCACGAGCAAGCGAAACGCTCAGGCGCACACGCCCACGCCACGCTCACGCCCACGCACACGCACGCGCACACGGCAAGCGCACGCGAACACGCGCGCGCAACGCGCGCAACCGCGAAACACGCGCACACGCACACACGCGCACACGCGCACACACGCCACGCACCCAGCACACACGCACACGCGCACAGCCCGCACGCACACAGCGACACACACACACACACACCACACACACACACACACACACACACACACACACACACCACACACACACACACACACACACACACACACACACACACACACACACACACACACACACACACACACACACACACACACACACACACACACACACACACACACACACACACACACACACACACACACACACACACACACACACACACACACACACACACACACACACACACACACACACACACACACACACACACACACACACACACACACACACACACACACACACCACAACACACACACACACACACACACACACACACACACACACACACACACACACACACACACACACACACACACACACACACACACACACACACACACACACACACACACACACACACACACACACACACTTACACGCGCACGCGCAGACGCGCGCTCTCGCACACGCGCACAAGCGCGCGCACCCGCGCACGCGCACGCGCACACGCACACGCGGACGCGCACGCCCACGCACATGCACACGCACACGCACACAGACACACACACACACACACACACGCACGCACGCACGCACGCATTTTTATACGTACACAAAACGAGAAACATGTGTAAGCAACAAGCAGTACCACCGCAACCTCGACCACCGCAACAACAGCAACAGCAGCAGCAACAACGAGAACAACGACAGCGAAACAGCAACAGCAACGACAGCAGCAGCCTTAAAGACACACGTACGCACGCATCACGCCGGCGCGCACACGCACAGCACACAGCGCACGCGCACACACACACACAACCACACACACACACACAACACATGCACACGCGCCACACACTCAACACACTGACAGCACGCAACAGACACACCGCGCGAATACATGCACATTGCAACGCAGAGACAACGCGAACTGGCTCTCCAGCACACACCCTTCACACATGCGCGCGAATGTCAAAATGCACAGCAATGCGCACTATAGATACCCACATACACGCACACAGACACACACCACACACACACATGCACACGCAACGCACACACACACACACACAACACGCACACCACACACAAACAGACAGGCAACAAAAAGCAAGCAAGCAAACAAGCACGCGAGCGAGCGAGCGAGCGGGTCAGTAAGCAAGCCAGCCAGCCAGCCAGCCAGCAAGCAAGCAAGCAAGCAAACACACACACACATACACACATGGGCACCGTGCACATGCCGAATGAAAGGAGCACGTGGTGAAGGGCAACGTTGCTGCACTGGCAAAAGGCGCAGAGCAGTGAGACCGCGATCTGACCGAAGGGTGAGACATGTCAGGCACCGTTTTGGAACATCCCATGCCACGGTGCCTTTTTGCGGTGGGCTCACCACTGGGAATGCCCGTGCCTTACGTGTTGTGAATTGACTGCTTTGTTTGTTCGTTCAGAAGAACGAAGGTGGCTTTGTGGTTTTGTGGTTGTGTGAATTGTGGTTGTGTGAGTTTGTGCTTTTGTGCAGAAGGTGGTGCCTGCAGGTTTTTGAGCATCAGATTGTCGCAGAAGGCCCAGCGGGCTTCCAGGCTGGGTAAGACTCCAGCAGATTTGCCGTGTTTGTCTGTCTCAAAAGGTATTTTCGCGGCCTTGATGTTCGGTGGCCTGCAGCGCATGAGGGGCGAGGATGGAGGCCAGCGAGCATATTCGATCTCCGTTTCGACCTCTCACTCGCACGTCCTTGCCTTCCTCACATTCCTTCCTTTTGGTTTCGCCTGTATCCGCGATTTGGGCTTTTGTTTAGCAACACCTGGTACGGGCGAGCACCACGAGGACAACCTTACTGTCTCTGGCTCATGCCCGCATCCAGGCCAATGGATTGCCAGTCGCAAGGCAGAAAGCCTCAAGTCTGTCAAGCTTTCCAAAGGTAGAGGGTGACAAGGAAGGGCAATAGAACTGGCCATTTCCTTGCTTCTGTCTCACCCTGCCGTTTCGGATTCTTTGCAACAGATTGAGTTTGCTCTCACATATTCTCCTAATGCAAACATGTATGCCAAATGCACCTCCTGTTGGCAGATGCATTTCAGTGGCTTCAGAAGGTTTATTTGTGTCGGAAATGCAGAAACACCAGTGCAAAACTGTCAAGACCTCGTCAACTGGTCAGACAGATGGTGAAGCATGACGGTGCAAGTTCCCTCGACATTTCCGACGCACACAATCTCATCCTGCCGGTAAAATTGTAAGCCTCAGCAGGCAGCCTTGCTTTTTGTATTGTTTATTTGTTGTCACTGTAGTTATGATCACTTTTCTTGTTGATTAAAATCACTATCCATCCATCAACCGACGTTGGCATTCAAGTGGCTCCAGGTCTGGCGTCTGCAAGTACAGTTGCGGCCACTTTTTGGCATTCGAAGGTGTTGGATCTCTCACAGCATCAATCACCTTTCAAACAAGTGCCCAACACACTCTCAGTGATTTCGACAACTATGCTGAGGATGTTTTTGAGCAACGCCAAGAAGGCAAACGCGGCAAATTCAGAGCATTTGCCTCCAAGCCGCGGCCTGGAGCTTCACATGGCTCAACCAACATGCAAAGGCGCAACCGCACTAGAAGGCGCGCTCGCTTTGCGTTTCGTACCCGTTCAACTGCGCATCGCCCGCTCCGCGCTACACGCCTGCAACGAGTGATAAGTACATCCGCCACCCGTCAAGCGCGCCTGCTCAGCGCTGCAAACACACCTGCCAAATGATAAGCGCGCCGCTCTCAAGAGCGCCCAGTCGGCGCTGCGCACGCGCCTGCTAAGTGATAAGAACACCCGCTCAAGCTCGCCCGCTCAGCTGCCAACATGAACACATCGCTCTGCACGCCTGCCCATTGACACCCGCGCAATACCGCCCACTCAGCACCGCGCCAAACGATTCGCACAGCCACACGAGCGAGCGCTCCCGCTCAGCACTGCACGCACGCCTGCCAAATGACAAGCAGACCCGCGCAAGCAGTGGGATGGGGGCATGCCGGCCGGCTGGCACGAGCCTGCGGAGGGGACTTGAGATGAAATCTGTCGATAGTCACGATGCATCCCGAGAGTGAGTTGACCCATTTTACGAAATCGGACTTTCTTTTTGTCGAACGGCTTGATGCAGACTGCTCTAGCTGTAGTTTGGAGTCCCATTTTACCGTGGTAGCCTCCGAATTCAGCTGCCAGGATGTTCAACGTTTTCCACCCGGACGACCCCATTGCGTGCCTTGCCAAGCCATTAGTTGTCGTGCAAAGCTGCAAGCCAGAGACGCTGCCTTTCCTGCTCCAGGTATCGCATTGAGCCGCTCCTGAACCCGGCCTATGCATCAGCAGAGCCAAGGACGCGTGCTGCTTTGCTCATTTGAAACATGGCTTTTTCCACCAAAATAAAGGGAAGCCACCATTTACAAGCCAATGTTCAGGTGTATTATGTAAGGATATCTGTGTGTGTTTTTTTTTTTTTTTTGCGCCAGCCTGCCTCGCGTGTGAGTGAACCTGCGCAACTTGAGCGTGCAGGGTGGTGCCTCACAAGGGCGGCCTACGATGGAACCACAAGATCACCAGCTGGTTTTCCGCCTCCGGCACTGTGTGGTGCTGGCACCGTTTGATGCATCACATGGCTGTGGTTGTCAAAACCCTGTACATTTGGTGAACGTCAAAATCCACCCGAAAATGGAGCCATAGGTTATGCCCCAGTACCATTTTGGGGTAGGTCACCACCCATTTTGGTCTATTGTAGTGGGGATCGGGATGTTCACTGGGGGTACAATTTGGTTTTTGACCCAAAGCACATGGACATTCTTCTCGTTTTTTGTTTTGTTTGGTGAGGTCCAAAAGTCCTGAGGGCGGCTTCCTGGACTTAGAGGCCATCCGAGTTGACATCGCTCTTCATTTGTCCCTTTTCCAAGGGTGGAAGTACACACCCCTTGTTCATACCCCTTGTTCATACCCCTCCGCTTCGCTGGTTTCCAATACTTTATACGGGGCAAAAAACCCCTTTTGGGAGAGGATATGGTATGAACAGGGCTTTTGGGTTTTGCCCAAAGGGTATGTAGAACGGGTTTGTACCTTGGCACCCCTCGCCTTCTGGACCAACCCGTGCTGGGTGGTTTGGATTGGTTTGAACCACCGAACCGTGAAACCAACACTTTGGGGGGGGAAGCTGAGCATTGCATTGCTATTGGCCGCTGGGGTGGATCTTTAGACTTCAACTTGGTTGAAATCAAGTCGGGTTTTCCACTCCCCCAGTTTTTTTTTTTTTTTTTTTTTTTAAACCTTTTGCAGGGTCAACAGCAACCAAGTCATTTGCATCCCTCTCAACTCCCCTCACCTCCCGTTTAAGTGTGGCAGGCGCCCTTCGAGGAGGTCTTGGTGGTGCCCACGGAGGAGATCTCGCTTGCGCCGTGCGCCTTCCGCGCGCAAGCGCCTGGAGCGGCCGAGAAGAGAAGCAAAAACCCGGCAGGACCCATCCAGCTTTTTCGAGGCGCGCCCGGAATTTGTTGGGGCCAAGCCGTTTTTTGTCTTTTTTTTTCTTCTTCTCCGATTTTTCCGGCCAGGAAAAACCCGGACGGCAGCCAGCTGTGACAGTTGATCGAGTGGATTATGCTCTGCAGGCCCAACAGCATGTACTCCGTTTTTTTGCATGCCACGATACATGTGCAGTTGCTTGAGCTCTTGGCGAGAGCGAACTTGTGGTCAGTCAGGTAAGTGCCTTTGAGAGCATGAACGAGATGCTCAGCGCCATCCACAGCCACTTCTCCTACTGGGAGAACGAGGACTTGCTGCAGTTCATCGTCGACCAGATCTTCGAGTCTCTTGGCAGCCGTGCCTTGGAGACGAGAAGAAGCAGCTTTTGTTCTATGGCCGGTCAACACCGTTTTGGGATCCCATTTTGGTTGGTTGGTGAATTCACCACCCATTTTAGAGCCTATTTGGTACCAATTTTAGTCTATTTTGGTGGTTGGATGGGGATGTTCACTGGGGGTATGATTTGGTTTTTGACCCAATTGGAACCCTAGTAAGTGCAAACATGGACCAAAACCTGCGGTCCGTTCCTGGTGGTTTAATATTGACCCATGCCCAATTGAAGCACAACGCAGTCGGCAAGTGGAAAGGCAAAGACTCCTCCAGATCCTCGAAGTGACGATCCTGGCTAAATCTTTGCGGCGCCGGGGACCGCTTCTGGGGACCGCTTTCGAGAGAGTGGTTTCACAGCCGGCGAAAAGCAACTCCAGACATGCGTGACTCATCTCTTACGACATGTCCAGCATGTGTTGATGTCGCCTCGCAGCCACAATGGCTATGGCTCAACAGTTGACATGATATGCGGTGAATGATGACGCTGAGCCCTGCCGAGGCGCACGCGTCCGCATGCATGCGTGCGCAAAAACATGACGTCCAATGCGGAGGTGGAGCATTGGCTCCGGGGCTTGGGCTCATTACTTCCCCGTGAGGTGGGGTGTAGATTTGAAGGGGTTGGAGGGATTGTGTTTAGGTTGATGTGGAGATGAGTGTGCAAGGCGGTCTCTGCGTTAGCAGAGGAGGTTCTGCGTCAGAGCTTGTCACTCAGATCCTGGCAAACTCAGCAAGTGCTTGGCTTGCAAGGCCTTCTGGGTGTCGTGTAGCCAAGGCATCGATGGCTCAGCCTTTGATGCACTGGTGGCAAGGCATGGGCCATTGTTTAGTCGTGAGCTGATGAGCTGACCATCTTTTTTATGACAGTCGGGCAATGCCTTCGCTGGGTGATGCTGCCGCGAGCTTGGATTGACGACTGAACCCACCGATAGACTCGCAAGCGCCTTTGCACTTTGAGCTAGATGTTGCCTTCTTATCTCTTTCTGAAGCTTCAATGCATGGGCACGAACAGCCATTCATCCACATGGCTGTCTGGCCTTGTCAATCCAGAGATTGTCACAATTGCAGGTTCGGCCGAATCACATGGCGACCCTGAGACGTTGCTGGCACCAACCTGAGACTGCTTTCTAAGCTGTTCCAAGCTGGACCAAAACCAACCCTGGCACGGCACGTGTGCGCGCGCATGCGCTGATGCATGCGGGCACCCACGCGCGCACGCACGGATGAGCACATTTACAAACCCAACGCCAGGCACCTGCATACGCTCCCACAGCCAATAACATGCAACACACCACACACACACGCAGCCACGCCCACCCTTGTCAGCACACCCCCACACCCCCACCCTCACACACCCACACACCCACACCCCGAAACACCCGGAAACACCCCCAAACACCCCCAAACGCCCCCAAACACCCCCAAACACCCCAAACACCCCAAACACCCCAAACACCCCCCAAATACCCCCAAAGCCCAACACCCACCCACACACACACACACACACATACACCCACCCACCCCCCCGCCCATCCCCCCCCACCCACCCACCCACCCACCCACCCACCCACCCACCCACCCACCCACCCACCCACCCACCCACCCACCCACATGCATACAAGTCCCCACAGAGACACGTACAAAGCGAGACGCTTTCGAAACGAAACACCACACACACACACACACACACACACTCACACAGACAAGAATACATGCGCAATCGCACGCACACCACATCACATGCTTCTTGAATGGCAAGCAACTCAGGAATGCCAAAAAGCCTTCAAAGGAAAGCGCAGTGTGGGATTCCCAGCTGGTGCTGACTTGTCGTCGTGTTTTGATTCTTCACCTTCCTATGTTCAGGCTTGCGTTGCGCACTCAGCTTTTAAGGCGTGCAGACGGGAAAGCTGCAGAGTCACAAGCACGTCACGATGCTCCAGCCGCGCAATCGCAGTGCTGCCCTCGGTTTCTCAAACTCATACAATGTGGCAGAGCGCCTTCGCCAGATTTCGTCCACCTCCTCGTCATCAACCTGTTGAAGAGTCGCGGACACCAGCTCGTCAGCGAACACTTCCTGGTCAACAATCTGTTGAAGAGCCGGAGTTGTCACCAGCTCCCAGTCAGCAGATTGACGACTCGCTGCCAGTGGTGCCCATTGAAATCCCAGATGAAAAGGACTGAGCGGTTTCACCGGGAGGAAGCATGTGCTTATTTGGCTGTGGGTCAAAACCAATGGGATCCCATTTTGGTTGGTAGGTGAATTCACCACCCAGTTTAGAACCTATTTTAGTGGTTGGATTGGGATGTTCACTGGGGGTACGGGCTTTTGACCCATGGTCACTTTGCGATTTGTGCGTGCACACACTGCGCAGGACCTGGCTGAAGATGCTGAGCGAGAAGGTGAAGCGTCGAAGACTCCGCTGAGCTATGCCATGCAAAAGCGGAAGGCGGCATGCGTTGCTAAAGAAAACACCACTTTAAGTGTTTTGTGCGAGCAGATTCCAGGCAGCTCGGCCGCCGCAAGTCCAGCACTCGGCATCGATTTCCGGGTTGAGGGTTTGATCCTGGCGGGTTAATGTCACACGGCTGTTGTCAAAACCAATGGGACCCTATTTTGGGGGTTTTCGGTGAATTCACCACCCATTTTAGGCTTCCTATTTTAGTGGTTGGATTGAATCGGATGTTCACTGGGGGCTAACCGATTTGGATTTTGACCCATGGCCACATGGCATCTTGCACCCTGCAGGTCCCGCGATTGAATTTGTCATTGCTGAACAAAGGCAACTAGCTCAGTGATCTAGCTCAGTGGAAGAATCGGGTTTGGCGGATAGGCAATAGCGACTCTGACAACCTCATGAAGCATGAATGGAAACCTGGGAAGCCCGAAGCTTATTCTTTCGACTGCTCCGATGCACAAAGTCCTGCGCCAAGGCCTCATAGCAGACTTGGAAGCTCGGCGTCGGCTGCGTCTGACGATCCAAGAAGGCCGGAGCTGCCAGAGGAATTTGGGGTTTGGCAAAGCATCTGCATCCAGGGTGGGATTTGCGAATGCCAGCGCCGAGGACATGCATGGCTGAGGGTGGGATATTGGTTGCTGAAAGGGGCGGAAAAGCGATGTCTGACCACAAGAAGAACACTGGGGCAGACCCAGGATACATTTTACAATTTACCAGTGACTCAAAGTGAAGCAAACAATAAAGTATACATCCTATAACTGGGCCTAACTCTAATCATGAACACATTTCCAGTCTACTTTTTTTTTGCAATCCTTTTGCGTCGCCCCGGCTGGCCTGGTCCAGCGACGCTTGTTTTTCATTGCCAAGCGTTGACTCCGATGTTCATTGGCGACGGTGCGCGACAGACGGCAGCAGCACAGGGACAGGAACGGGAAAAAGAACTCAAAGACAAATGGGTGTGGCTGAAAATTAAACAGGAGGGGCAAACTGCAGGTTTTGGTTTCATTTTTCTTAGAATTCCCAGGGCAACCCATTGTGGAATTCTGGTTTTTGGAGCCACAGCCAAACGCATCCACGGCTGTGCGCCACCGGATCCCAATAACACTGGGGTCCGATGTTTTGAGGGTTTTTGGGGGTATTCAAAGTCAGTAAAACCCCTACTACTAAGGGGGTGACTATTTGTTTCCCTATTTCCACCCCTAATTGTTTCTTTATTTCTCCCCTGTCAGTAAATAGGGGGTATCCATGTCACCCCTGGGGGTTAAGTAGTGATTGTTTCCCTTTAACCTTCTTGGGGGGTGACTTTGATCATGGTAAAATAATGAGGCCAACAACACTCTGCTTTGAGCCCGCATGATGGCCTCTCTCTTTTTTGCTTCTGGCCAGGACCAGCAGCGCATCGCCGAGTTCTATGGTTACAGAGATGAGGCGCCGCCTTCCAACTCACCGCTCGCCCTTTTTCGCGGAGCTTCCGGCAGGGCTTCATTTCAACCATGAAGAACCTTCGGACGGATGTGATCCGGCCCCGGCTGCGATGGCCCAAGAGTTATACAGAGCGTTTAGTGCGTTCGAGTAAAACTAATGGTACCATTTTGGGGTAGGTGCACCACCCAATTTAGTCTTTTTTAGTTGGGATTGGGATGTTCACTGGGGGTACAGGCTTTTGACCCATGGCCAGATGTTGTTTCTCTGAGGTATGTCGGTAACATGGCAGATGCCGCCTATTGGCCACTACTGACCAAGCTGTGATCTCAGCCTGCGCCCCGATGGATCAGATTTTTGGCCGTAGCTTCAACAGGCTGGGCATCACCCACGTGGTGAACTGCGCAATCGAGGCAAGCACCAGAGTTGTGCATCGCCGAGCGGCTCTGGTGAACTTTTTCTCAGGCACAAAAGGTACCTCCGGCCTATGACTCCAAGGGGATACAGTGCGCCTGGAAAGAGTACTTGCATGGACATGCTTCTTCTTGATAGACATTTTGATGGATGCTTTCATCCTTAGTCTTGCTTCTTCTTTGATGCTGCTGATGCTTGGACTTTTCGATTGTATTTTTCTTCGACTCCTCACCTCAAGGATTCTTCTATGTTTCGTCTCTTCGATTCCTTAATGCTTCAATTTTATGATGATTGATTCCTTGATTCCTGGATCCTGCCATTCTTCGAGTGTTTGTTTCTTCATTTTTTTCTTCAATTCTTCAATTCTTTGAACATTCGATCCCTCGATTTGGATTCTCTGATTTGTTGCATATTTCCCGCTAGGGAGCGTGTCAGGCCTAGCTTCCACGCTTTGCAGGTACTTAATGATGCCGTGGCAAGATAGGGAGGAAGAAGCTCAGAGTCTGACGAGGCCGACCGCAGCGGCTCCCTTTCCGCCGACGTGCATGTGGATTTGGCCATGTGTCATAACCTATGGCGATCCCATTTTGGGGCGGATGATCACCCATGTACCACATATTTGGATGTTCACCAGGGGTTTCCTACCACCACAGCCATATGCGTCCATCTTGGAATCTGAGGGCCAGATTCCGGGTGTTGAGAGGGGCCACCAAGTACATCCAGGCTGCGCTGAAGGCACGATCCAATATTTTTCAGCGCGCGCCTTGGCGCCTACCGCGAGTCGATCGCGAGGCGAAGGATGCCAACAACGCCGTGCTGCTGCACTGCGTGCAGGCGGAGAAATGGACATTGACCACCAGTTGGCACCCGCAGGGTCAAACACACGGCCCCTTTCTGGGTTTTGGTGCCCCCCGGTTCTGTACGTGCCGCCTTGTTTGTGGGGATACCAATTCCCCAAGTGCAAGTGTTGCAAATTTGTTTGCGTACTGCCAGGGCTTGTCCCGAAGTCCTACCTTGGCATGCGCGTGCCCGTTGCATCAATGTTTTGGGCGTCAATGTCAGAGG